TAGTTTTACTTCATTCATTTTCAGTGTGCTTCTACAACTTTCTTAGGTCAACTCATGTAATTTTAGTTTTTTTTTTTAAGCATTATTAAGGGGGACCAAAGCATTCAAACATTCAAGCATTCAAACAATTCTCTGTACTGGTGTCTCTCCCCCGACACCGCATTGCATCTTGTAATAGCTTTCATCATCATCATCATCAATACAATCATCAGCTTTCATCATCAGTTGCTCATTTTCCGCTGTTCAATTGCTCACGACATTGATTTTCCCGTACGGTACTGACAATCTAGTCTAACGTACAGCGAGAATCTCAGTTGGAGCATAGCAACCGCACACATCGGTTGCTTAGCCTTACGACTTCACTAAGGCGCCGCGTAACACTGTGTATGTGCTGCATCCAAATTCAAAGCCCAACTGAAAGTTGTACTCCATGGAAATGCAGAGGAAAATCATGGCGAGAGGAGACCGAGACCGACTCAGCGATTTGCCCGACCCGATTCTACTCGACATTCTCTCTTTGTTACCGGAGGGAAAAGCAGTTGTGCGAACCAGCGTATTATCTCAGCGATGGCGGTTTATTTGGAAGTCTGTTACAGTATCACTCGATTTCGAGTTCCCCAGATGTTCCAGCCGAAAGGAGACTCTTGACCGCATGGCTTCGATCAATAGAGAGCTTCATCATTGGAGGTATTGCGAGAAAATCCGAAAAATTAGGGTATTTTTCTATGTGTACTGTAAGCATTATGTAAAAGATATTGATTTATGGGTAGAATTTGCAACTAAAATTGCTAATGTTGAAGATTTTGCTCTTGATATTCTAGGTGTCACTGACATATATGAGTTTCCTCAGTTTGCGTTTAAGAATACGTCCTTTAAGAATTTGGTTTTGAGCATGCTCAAAGTGAACCCTTCTGGTAGTGTAAACTGGAGTAGTCTCATTTCTCTTTCAATTGGGGACCTCAATTTGACGGAAGATGTAATGGAAAAGATATTATCGGGTTGCCCTAACTTGGAGTGCTTGAAACTGGATAGTGTTAAGGGCATTCGTCGTTTGGAAATCAGCTCTGTGAAGCTAAGAGAATTGATCATAGAAGATCAATACTTTCACAATCATGACTTTTGTTTTGAAATATTAGGCCCCTATATTCAAAATTTGCAAATTTTGAGTTTCTACAGTACAATATGCTTGCAGCAGAGAAATGTGGCTTCACTCCTCACTGCATTCCTTGGTTTAGAGTTTGGTCAACGCAACTTGAAGAAGGAGTGTAGCTATTTGAAGGAGCTTCTTCACAGTGTTGCCCATGTCGAGAATCTTGAATTGAGTCCCTGGTGCATCGAGGTTTATTCAAACTCTTCATTATCCAAAATCCAGAAACTTCTTTTTCGTTTAGGGACTTTTTATTTGCTATTGAATCATCAGTTTAGTAACATTAACAGTGCTGCTAGTTAGGATAATCTGATAACTAATTTGGTAATCAAAGAATTACATTCTCATGGCCAATCTAGTTGATAAGTGGCAGGAGATTGAAAATGAACTGTGAGAATAAAGAGCTTGCAATGGAAAGAACAACATGAAAAATGTGGATTGATTTACATTGATCATACTCTTTTTTTTAATATGAGTAAAATGCGTTTATTAAAAATGATACCAAGATGGTACAAGTACAAGTATAAGCTGCTACTAAGCTACTACAGCATTCCAGTCAAAACATATTTCATGTTTCCCCATATGTTTCATCCTATCTAGGGTATTGCTACAGCACCAGTAAAATAGATTCTTGATACATTTGTTTTTGACTCTAGCAATGTGTACCCTCTTTTCTTCAAAGCTTGCTTTGTGTCTCTCCAACCAGACAGTCCACAATATACATATAGGAATAGTCTTCCATATTTGCTTTAGGTTTCTTTTCATTTTCTGAGCTTTCCAAACTTCCAAACAAATTGCTGATCTTCTGTGGTATGACAGAGATACACCCATGATAGTAAAGAAAGAGTTCCCAGCATTGTCTTGAGAAATTACAATGAAGGAATAGATGCTCAACAATACTCTTTAAGTCATGTGAATGGGTTTTTCCAAGTGTTTAAAAGTCCATCTTTGGATTTCTAAACCACCTTGAACACTTTGCTGCGGCAAAACAGAAGTCATATAGTCCAAGCTGTTATTACAAATTATTCAACAATTTGCATGTCATTTGTTAAGTATGTCACATTTCCTTGTTTTGACGTGTTCTGGTTTATCTATTTGGTTTATAAGTGCCTGTCCATACTGGAGTTGGAGGGTTGGCAGCCTCCACTTTCAAGCCGGAAATTCTTAAAGCTTAACACAGCCTTAGAACAGTTGGACTTACCTGGATTTTGCAGCTTTTTGCAGAGTTCGTTGGATCTTGAGACATTGGTCATTGACTGGTCTAATTATGGATCAAGAGTAAGTTTCCTTTTAGACCTTTATTTTTGTTATACTTCATGTTATCTTATATCAAACAACTATTAGTAGAAGAAGAAAACGATATACATCAACATATTTCTGATCTTAAGTACATTAGGAGAAAAATCATAAAACCTTTTTTTAATTTAAACTGCCTTACTGGTAAATTTCTCTTCCTTACCTCTTTAAGAAAAGATAAGAAATGAACCAGTTCAATCCTCAAGTAAAGAGAAGATTGAGAAGGTTCTTTGACAAAAGCATAGGAAATAAGCCCCTAATGTTTTAGCAAAAAAAGTGTTACTGTATTGGACTCCTATTTGCAATGTGAAACATAAGTAGCCTAAGTACTTGATGAGCTTTACAACAATAGCTTCCAACTTGTGGAGGCTCCTTCCATGAGAACTAAAAAAGAGAAACAGTGAGGAGTACTACTTTGTAACATTTGTGAAGCACTTGACATGTTCCTTGAATCTAGAAATTCATCACTTTTTTGTTTTATCCACAATCAATTCCTTGGCTTTTATACTTCCATCTAAAGAGAATAACTGGTTAATATTAGCGGATTCTTTCTTACAGCACCAGTACGTGCTGCCATGGTACAAGAATAAGGATGAACATTGCAAGAGGTTTGAGAAAATACATAATTTTAACTGCTCATTGCTACAAATGAAGACCATCAAGTTCATTAACATGGTTGGACCATTAAGTGAAAACAAGTTTGTACTGCCGTTGATAAAGTATTTGCTCGAGAATGCAACAGTGCTAGAAAAGTTCATCATTGCTGTCGGATGCAAAGGCTATGTGTCTCAGGATTGTGTTAAACTGGAACAGGAGCTCCTGAGCTTTCCAAGATCCTCTCCTCACGCTTCAGTTGTCTTTTCTTATGGCCCCTCTTTGTATTGATTACATTTGTCAGTATCCAAGGAGTTGTTATAGTTCTTCATGCGCAAGTAAAAGTGTGTTTATTCTCTGATCGTCATGTAAGAAAGCTTGCTCTAAATATTTTGTTATGAATATTCATATTGCTGAATTGATTGCTTTTATACTATGAAAATTTAAGGTTGAAAATCATTTTGCAAGAATAGTATTTCAAGATTCATTACTGTCCACGGACTTGTTTCTGCTTGTGTATGTTATTTTTAATTGGTGGAAGAAATATTTATCTACTTGGACGGTTAAAGACCTTAGGAAGGAACGATAGCAGTGGAACCTAGTGCCAGCAGGTATGCTTTGGTATCACAAAAGGAAAGAAATAGCATGTGTTTTGAAAGAAAAGCAGAAGTCACTTTTAACTAAAAAATAAGCGTTTGAATTTAGTTGCTTTTTGGTGTAAACTGAAAAGTTTATTGCTGTGATAGACTTTGCATTCAGGAGTAGCCTGAGTTGTGCATAGTTTTTGCACTCACCGGCATGGTCTTACTGCTCGGCCAGTAATATTCATTTTCTGCATTTTACTGGCGGGTTGACGAGGGCGGGTCAAGCAGGATTGGCAGACTTCTAGGCTGACAAGCTTCTGGAGAAGGGGTGCACATGTTACTTAGGCGAATCCCACATCGGAATTGAGAGAGGAAAGTAAAAAGCTTTATAAGGCATGATACAAGTTCGCATGGTACGCGATATGGCGTAGCCCAAAAAGACAAATCCGTATGGGCCTAGGCCCAAAGCGGACAATACGTGTCATGGGCTTGGGTCGTGAAAAATAGACAAAATTCATCTTTTCTATCTCACAAGGTTGAGTCTTTTGGTTGCAGATTTTTTTAAAGACTACTAATCCTAGTTCAAAAGGTTTGTTAATGCAACTTGAATGTTCTGGGAGAGTTGTTTATTTCAATGGTGATTGCTTATTATTAATCAAACTGCCATACAAGATTTCCTTTTGATGATTCATTTGCAGTAATGCATTTTTCTCTTCTTTTGACAACGTATATTCAATATCTGCAATCAAGATGATTAAGGATATCTTTTTGCTTATATCGCTGATGTTATAAAAATGGGTTGAGAGATTGCAGAATATTAGACCAAATTGATCACGTTATAAATTGAATTTGAAGTGTATCATCTAAAGAGAACAAGCAGCCATGTTGATCTCCAGCTTCTTACCTCTCACTTATATATTAGTAATGTGAATTGAAAATGTAGGGTGCCAATTGCCATTTCTGCTCATCTTCAACCTATGTTATGAGCACTGTTTCTGCCTTGGTGATTATATTAGGTGCTTTGTGTCTAGGGGTTGTTTGGTAGGATGTATTATGAAAAATAATACATGTATTAGCTTTGGTATTATTAATTCCTTGTTTGGTAGTGTTTTTTAATTTATGTACAGTAATAATCTTATACATAGCAAACCATAGCATTAGCAATATTATAATTTTTAATACATGGATAAGCATGTATAAAGACAAAGATGCTCTTTCAAAATCTTTTCCAAATTCTTTCCAAAGAATGTGAAGGGTATTTTGTAAACAAACAATTTTTTTTAAAAAATAATGCAATGCATGTTATTTTTAATACAACAAACTAAACAGTTGATAGAAATAGCTTTAGCATAACTAATCTCAGTATTACTAATTTTAACATTATTAATACAGCATATTCAGTACTATTGTTACCAAACGACCCCTAACTGTTTATATAATGATATGGTTTTTTGACCAATAAAGCATCTATTAACCCTGTTTGGTCATCTATATGAACTGAAGATGACTATAAGTCTAATTTATCACGTTTTTCCCTTGATATTTCTTACTGGTCCTTTAGTTATTGACTGCAGATGTTATATTTAAGTTGTGAGAAGAAAAGAAAAATGCATTACTTGTTGCAAATGAACCATCAAAAGGAAATGCATAATTTGCAGGACTACTATTTGAGAACTTGTATATTGTGTTGTTAACAGGATGGAAGGAGTGACTGTCTGCTGCACAAAAAGGGGCTGATATTCCAGTTATGCAGAAAGGGACAACAGCAGCGCTCCGAAAATCTTAGCCGATGAATAACTTGCGATATTAACTTGTATTCACTACATTTTAGCGCTGTTCTACACCATCAGGTTAAGTTACCTACAACCATAACTAGACAAAGAGGGGTGTTGGGGGTGTGGCAATTCAATAACAATCTGTTGGATTGAAAGACATTTCTGAGGCTTTAAAAAGGAAAATTACAGCAAAGGAATAAAACCATACAAGCTATCCTGCTCTGTTACTAAAAGCCACTCTAACTTTCACAACAGAAATACCCGTTGGTTTGCTAGCGTCTGGTTACTGTGGTGAGTCCGTACTGGACTGAAATCAATTAACCACTGGTAAGAATCCAGAGGTACACAAGTGACCTCAAACAGATCATATCTTACCTTAAGATACTAGTCATAGACTATATAAACAAGTCTATTGCAGTAAATTCATTTTCAGCAAAAACAATTCCAAAATTTTGCCTTTCGTATGCTTCTGAATTGTGATAATAACACAGGCCAACATAAACAAGCCCTTGGACACGTAATAAATCTTGCAATACTATTTTTGCAAAATAATTTTCAAACTTACATTTTCATAGTATAAAAAACATGATCAGGATTCAACAATATGAATAGAAATCACAAAGCATTTTCGAGCAACATCTCTTGCATGATGATCACATCATGAAGAACTATTAAAAACTCCACTGACGAGTACAATCCTAAACTTGTCCATCACCTGCACAGCAGTTTCAAACATAAACTAACATTTGCTAAGTATGTAGCAATCAATACAAACCAGAGAAGACAAAAATTATCGATGAGAAAAGACAACTGAAGCGTGAGGAGAGGATATTGGAAAGCTTAGGAACTCCTGTTCCATTTCAACAAAATCCCAAGACAAATCACTCCCTATGAATCCGGCAGCAATGACAAATTTTTCTAGCGCTGTTGCACTCTTGAGCAAATATTTTACCAATGGCATTACAAACTTATTTTCAATTAATGGTCCAAGAAAGTTAATGAACTTTATGGTCTTCAAATGTGGAAATGAGCAATTAAAATTATGGGTCTCAAACCTCTTGACCTGTTCATCCTCGTCTGTGTACCTTGACAGTAGGTCCTGTAGGAAAGAATCCACAGTATTAACCAGTTATTCTCCTTAGACGGAAGTAGAAAGCTAAGGAGTTGATTGTGGATAAAATTAAAAATTGATGCATTTATAGATTCTTGAGCATGTCAAGTGCTTAGCAAATATTACAAAGAAGTACATGCAAACAACAAGAAAATTTTCAAAGCTTCACTGAAGATGATCATTTATCTCTTTGCATGAAGGTGAGTTCTATCCCTTGTTAAACATTTTTTTCTTACTACAAAAAAGTTGACTGCAGAATTGGCTTACGCATGAAAGTATTGTGACATAGATATTTTAGTTCGGTATTCGGTTTCTTAAAATGTTATACTAATACTATACCTAATTAAACTCGATATGATTCGGTTTCAAATTGTAACTGTCATAAAATACACTNGGGAACCTAGGCATCTTGTCAAAAATATCAAAATATTTTAACCAAAATTAAAGATTACCTTTCCAAAACTATTCCATAATTACAGTTAGGAATGTTTGTCTATTTGTGCGGTACAATATTTAGATATTTTAGTTCGGTATTCGATTTCTTAAAATGTTATACCAATACTATATCTAATTAAACTCGATATGATTCGGTTTCAAATTGTAACTGTCATAAAATACACTTCCAACTCAAACAGCGCCTTACGCGCTCTTCANCGCCTTACGCTCTCTTCACCTTCCTCTATAGTCAATCAATTTATTCCCCCCTTTAATTTTCTGTTGTTTTTCAAAAACTCTCATCACAGAAATAGCAATGAAGGATTTTACATCCCCTGAATCTGATCAACAACCTTCAACATCAAGGAGTATAATACAACATCAGATTTCAGGCCTCACTCCTTCCACTGATCAACAAACCATCCCATTCCCAGGTTTGTAATAATATTTGAAAATATTTTTAGTTTCTGAAGTGAAGGCTT